CGCAACACACCGAGGGTCGCGGTCCCGTTGCCGGGCCCCGGCCAGTACGGGGGCGACACTGAGGGGTGCGATCCATTGCCGGACACAAAAAAAGACAAAAAGGAAAAAAAAAAGTTTCAAACCATACTCTGGTGGTGTAATAAGCTTTCCTACTAAGAACAAAGGAAGACAAAATATTCAGAAATTCTAGTCACTTAGTTAATAATGAACACAAGATAACAAAAATGGAAACTAATTGAAAGAAACAGACTCATTTAAGTTTCTTTAAATCCTGACCAATCTCCCAAATCAAAATCAAATGGAATAAATTCATTCTAAATACTAATAAATGTTCTATGGCTAGAAATATAATAAGGTGAATTTTAGCTCTCTTTCCACATTATCTTTGGTGGCTTCACAGAAGTGAATATGTGGTCAAAAACATGTATATATCTACATGCATGTATGCGATTGCATATGTGTATACATACACATATGCACACACGTATGCACATTAATGAAAATAAAATAAATATGAATTCTGAGTTTCCAAAGGAAATCCCAATTAAAACTGTTTTTACTTTTCATTGCCAAAGAAATGAAGATCACGATTAAACAAATATATGAAACGACTAGTTACATAAACTGTAAAATATTAAAACACAAGAAACAGGCAAAGTATATTTTAAGTGCTATTTGAAATATATTCATAATACTGTGACAGTCTATTGAATTTTGAAAATTGGCATGTATGAGAACATAACATGAATACTTCAAAATAACAAAAAAGAGGAAATAAAATGAAGTGATAATTATCTCTTTATTTCTACTGCAAATTGTCACTTAAAGGTTACTAAACCAGCTCTGGTTATGTTTTAGGTAAAACAAATTTTGCAATAATTTCCCCAAAGTTTCAATGTGTCCCCAACAGAAACTGCATCATTACTTAAGAAATTATCAAAAATTAGCTACACGTTATTTCAGTTTCTTCCACAGTTCTTGCTTAAATCTGAAAGAGAAGGAGTTTGTGGACAAAACACATGCACATACGTATACACCAACTTTTCTAGGTCTAGGTCCCTTGTTTGCTCAGATGCAAATAAACCCATAGGCTCAATCAAAGCAGACAACTCTAACCCTGTCTATCTGTGCTTAATGCCTTTGGAGGCCCTCTTCCAGATGAGCTGGCCTGCACATGAGCCAACCTCACACTGGGTACCTGAAGTCAGGTTTCAGACTATGCCTCCACATTACGATGCTTCCCTCTGTGCCAAGACCACTCAACTCCAGGTCCCAGCCACAGTGTTTCTATTAGCCCTCTCCCAGATGCTTAAACAGATACCAGGTGAACAGTCACAGGAGCTCAACTGCCAGTGCTCCTCTTTCCTTCACTTGTCTAACCAATCAAAAGTTTCATCAGGGGCCAGCTGGTTAGCTCAGGTGGTTAGAGCATGGTGTTTTAACACCAAGGTCAAGGGTTCAGATCCCTGTACTGGCCAGCCCCCAGAAAAAAAAAAAAAAGGTTTTATCAGGATACACGACGGTGGCAAGACAGGTCTATGACCTCATCTCCCACCACTCTCCCCTCTCCTCCAGCCCCACCAGTCCTGTTCCTTCCTCAGGGCCTTTGCACTTACTGTTTCCACCTCTTGGAGCACTTTCTCCAACCTCCTCAGGGTTGGGTCACATCACATATGCTTCACTTTATTTAGGTTTTTGCTCAAATCTCATTTCCTCAGAGATGCTGTCCCTGTATTCTAAAACAGCTACACCCTTCCTCCTGCCCTCAACTCTATCATATCACCCTTCCTATTTTTCTTCATAGCACTTATCTGAAATTATGTTGTGTATTACTTTCCTAGGGTTGCCATAACAAATTACCACAAACTGGGTGGCTTAAAACAACAGAAATTGATTCTCGCATAGTTCTGGTGGCTAGAAGTCCACAGTCAAGGTGACAGCAAGGCCATGCTTTCTCTGAAAGCTCTAGGGAAAATCCTTCCTTGCTCTTCCACCTTCTGGTTGCTCCTGATGTTCCTTAGTTTGAGGCTGCATCACTTCAATCTCTGTCTCAGTCTTCACAGGGCCTTCTCTGTGTTTCTGTGTCCTCTCTGCTTCTCATCAAAATACCAGTCACTGGATTTAGATCCACCCTAAATCCAGGATGATTTCAACTAGAGACCCTTACCTAATTACATCTGCAAAGACCATATTCCCAAATAACATTACATTCTGAAGTTCCATACAGACAAGAGTTTGGGGAAGACACTATTCAACCCAGCACACTTTGTTTACTTGTTTTCCTGTTTGTTGTCTATCTCCATGTTGTAACCCCATGAAACAGACAGTCTCCCTTGTTCATCACTACATGTCTCCAGCTCAGAGTGTGCCTGGCACAGAGGAGGCACACAAGGAACATTCATTAGTGAATGAATGGAGATAAAAAGATAAATAAGACAAAGCTCCTCCACTGGCCTTACAATGTAGAAAAAGACAAGACACTATGAGTGCCAGATTGAAACTTGACCCAGTTTGTGTGTTTTTCATTCCATTCCACAATGTACACTATATTTAGTACCTGTATAATGAGGAGTTGAAAATAGGCTACTTATATGAGGCCAGCATATCCTCATCAGCATAAAATATTTCCTTCCTAAGTGGGTACCATTTGCAGTATAGCATAAATTTCAGCAAATAGTACACACACCCTCTAGTGGCCATGGGAATAGTTGCCTTGCTTTGTGTGCTTTTACTCAAGGGCACTTGAAATATTTCTGCACTAATGTCAACTCACACCTAGAAAATGTAAGGATGTAATGTAGAAAACGTATTCACAGTGCTATAAAACTATGAACTGACAGAAATGGTGTCTATTTGCTCAAAATTCAAAGTAGAATTTTACTTATAAACAATATGATAGTATCAGGTGCCAGGCATTCTAGGTTTTTCTAGAAAATTCCAAAATGCTCAGGTTTTTTGTCACCTGGTAATTTAACTAATTCCCTTCTTCCCCTATAAAAGATTGCCAAGCCTTTTCCCATTTCACTTAAATTTAAACAATTTGGTTTACCA